GGAGATGAGCACCGCCCCCTAGAGTCAGGAACGACTAGCACATATGTGCAAGGGGAACTTTTACCTTTAGTACTTTAACTCAATTAACTCAGCCTTTGACATAAGTGACATCAAGTTGGCCATGCCCATCCAATCACATGACCACCAAGCCACGCCCACCCAGCCAATGGTTAGGCAATCCATATTAGTGGTCCGCAGGATTTAAAACTATGAATTTAGTGGTCCCTGAGGAGGTTAAAAAGGTTGGGGACCCCCGGTTTAGAGTTTTGCTGCTTGAGCAGTGGGGTTGGACTGGAAGACCTCCAAGGTCCCTTCCAGCTCTATTCTGATTGATTGAGCTTGCACTGCCAATGTCACAAGATGCCCATATTTTCATCCGCAGAGATTAGGACTGGGTGTAGCATCTGTCAAGTAGCTTGGACAGTGACAATAATTGCTCCAAAGTCTTCCAGAATCCGGGGTGAGTTTAAATTGGCTTGGCTTGGTCCAGCATCTTAAGGCTTCCCCACAGGGATTGGAGCAGTAGGAAAAAATAGAAGGGGAAGAACTTTGCGTGTGCTCAGCATTCTCTCTCTCTCTCTCTTTCTCTCTGTCTTTTTCTTTTTTTCTCTTCCTTCCTTTCTTTCTTTCTCTCTCCCTCTCTGTCTCCCTTTCTCTCTCTCTGTCTTTCTTTTTCTTTCTCCCTCTGTCTTTCTCACTCTCTCTGTCTCTTTCTCTGTCTCTTTCTCTCTGTCTCTCTCTCTTTCTCTCTCTATGTCTCTGTCTCTTTTTTCATTTTTTCTGTTTTTCTCTCTCTCCCTGTCTCTCTGTCTCCCTCCCTCTCTTTTTTCTTTTCTTTTTTTCTTCTTTTCTCTCTCCCTCTCTCTCCCTCCCTCTCTCTCTCTCTGTCTCCTCTCTCTGTCTCCTCTCTCTGTCTCTTTCTTTTTCTTTCTCTTTCTTTCTCTCCCTCTTTCCCTCTCTGTCTCTTTCTTTTTTCTTTTTCTTTTTCTTTCTTTCTCTCCCTCTCCGTCTCTCTGTCTCCCTCCCTCTCTCTTTTCTTTTTTTCTTTCTTTCTCTTTCTTTCTTTCTCTTTCTCTCTCCCTGTCTGTCTCTGTCTATCTCTGTCTGTCTCTTTCTCTCTCTCTCTTTCTCTGTCTCTTTTTTCTCTCTCTCTCTGTCTGTCTCTCTCTTTCTCTCTGTCTTTTGGCTGAGAGGCTCATCTTCATGGGGGATTTTTCAGCTGAATGCACTCAATTGACTAGCTAATCGCAGCACTGAGACTCGGAAGGCACTCGGCGGTACCTGCCTTCCCCCTCACGCCGTCGGGATGGTGTTAATTTCCCACGTCTTTGTAAATGTATCCTCATGCCTGTGAAAGAAGCATTTGCACACACATACCCCTGGCCCAGTTCTTGGCAAACAGGGTGGGATCCGTTCTGCGAGCCACGCAAAGACCGTCTGCCCAGTTTGTTTCAGCCCTGTTGGCTGGTTGTAGGAAGATTGTGAGCCAGGAAACGGTTTTGTCGCCAAAGGTGAGAGAAACCAGAGCTGGGCGGCAAACAATGAAAAAGAATTTCTTTGAGTGATGTCATCCCCCACCAATTCTCTCCTTTTAAACCAGGTGGAAGTCGGGCTGTTGAATTGTTGTTGCTCTGCGGAGGTATCTCCTTAGAAATGGTCCTCCAAAAGTTGTGGGTTTGGGTTTGGGTTTGAGCAGCTCTTCTTTGAGCCAAATATCAGTTTGGCTTATTACAACACTATGCTCGGGCTTGATAAATCGACACTTACAGTTTTAAAATTAATGAGTAGTTACGATCAGCCTCTCCTCTCCCCTTCTCTCCCTCAGTCTTGCCCCACAGAGGCCTCTCCTATCTTATCCCCTTTCTCTCCCTCAGTCTAACTCCTTAGCATCAGAGCATTTTTCAGGTGGGGGGGGGAGTAGAATATCTAAACTGGCAGCCCTCAGGCCAGATGAGTCACGCAATGCCCACACCCAAGTGGCAGTTGGAACAGAGTTCTTTTCAGGTGGGGAGGAGGAGTAGAACGTCTAACTCCTTAGCATCAGAGCATTTTTCAGGTGGGGAGAGGGAGTAGAATATCTAAACTGGAAGCCCGCAGGCTGAATGAGTCACACACCGCCCACGCCCAAGTGGCAGTTGGAACAGAGTTCTTTTCAGGTGGGGTGGGGGAGTAGAAGTAACCCCTTAGCATCAGAGCATGTTAATAATAATAATATAAGAAATACTAATGATCTGATGGTCATTTCGAAAAATCCTTTCTTAGTGTGAACACCTAGAAGCCAAGAGGAACATACGTGCCAAATTTCAAGTTTGTACACTTTAAGATTCTGGAGATTTCATGATGATGCATGAGTGGTATTTCTCTCACACACATATTGCTAACACACACATACACACACACACACACACCACATTCACAACGTAGGGTGGCACCCATCTCTAAATCCATGCACAGTAAACGACATATGGTTGCGAGGAAAATTCAATTGCATTAACATTTTTTTAAAGAAACCTCCTACAAATTCAGAAAAGGAATTTGTAAAAAACACAGAGGCTGTTTAGAAAAAGACCCCCAGATAGCAGCCGGGGGGAGGAGGGAATTTAAAGGCAGAAAATGGTGGATATATATTTTTTGGGAGGAGCAAAGCAGGAATGAGCTTTAAAAACTTCGCCATCAAGATTGTCAATCAATCAGGAGCCCTCCTGAGATAGGAGCCGAGTCCCGCTTTCTTCTCTATACTGGGAGGGTTTGCCCCTAGCTCTCCGCGATCAGGAGAGCAGGGGAGGGAAGCAGCTGCTGCAATAATTGGTCAAGCGAGGTGGAGGGTACGTGTGTGGTAACCTGCTGGGTTTGCCTGCCGGCAAAACGTTGGCTATCCTCCATCTCTCTGGAGATGCTCGGACTGCATCGCTGTCTCCCCAAATAACCGACTCTGTGCTCGGAGAAGCAGAAGGACGGATTGTGTCGTCCTGCGGGAGGGTTACCACGGAGGCAAGGGTGACAGCAGCCTTCAGAAAGAGATGCGTCCTAGGCTTCAGCTGCCAGCCACAGGGCTTCCAATGAGCACCAGCCGTGCCCTGGACAATCGAGCAGATCTCCGCCGCTGACCGCCTGCTGCCAACCGGCCCTTCGCCGCCCTCGAAAGCACTTCAACAACTCATGTTAGCTGATGGGCCCGTTTCCCTTTGGCTGCCTTCCCAGTTCGCAGGGAAGCACGGCTGCCACGCGGGCACAATTCAGGCATTGCCTCTGTTTGTGCTGAACCGAAGGGCTGGGAGAAGTGGCACCGTTGGTCTGCTGTTTGTTGGCAGCTTCCAATGAGTTTGCGCCAGGGGTGAAATCCAGCATGTTCTGACAGGTTCTGGAGAACCAGTAGTGGAAATTTTGAGTAGTTCGGAGAACCGGCAAATGCCACCTCTGGCTAGGCCCAGACTGGGAATGGAGATTTTGCAGTATCCTTCCCCTGGAGTGGGGGGGGGAATGGAGATTTTGCAGTATCCTTCCCCTGGAGTGGGGAGGGAATGGAGATTTTATAGTATCCTTCCCCTGGAGTGGGGAGGGAATGTGGATTTTGCAGTATCCTTTCCCTGGAGTGGGGAGGGAATGGGGATTTTGCAGTATCCTTTCCCTGGAGAGGGGGGGGGAATTAAGATTTTGCAGTATCCTTCCCCTGGAGTGCAGAGGGAATGGAGATTTTGCAGTATCCTTCCCCTGGCGTGGGGAGGGAATGGAGATTTTATAGTGTCCTTCCCTGGAGTGGGGAGGAAATGGAGATTTTGCAGTATCCTTCCCCTGCCACGGCCACCAAGCCACGCTTGGTTTTAAGTCAAAAACATGGTTTGCAGCCAAGTTAAGATTGCACAGCGTTCCCCGAGCGAAGCAAGTTACTTGTTACTCCGGTATTCCTTTCAAAAAACAAACAGGCTCTCTGATCAGGCTAACTTTGAGGAATCCATCTACTCGTCTCATTCCTTTTCTCCTACTGTGCCTTTTCAGTTAAAAAAATCAATCCATTTTTCTTCAAAAGCTTCTATTTGGAGATGCCACAAAGCTATTGCTTCAGGGTGGCTCAAATTCACAGCTCTCCCCTTTCATTTGGGGCAGCTGATTGAAAAGTCCCTTTTCTTCTTCTTCTTCCCTGCAGTTCTCCAAGGAGAAGTACATCCTTGACTCCTCACCGGAGAAGCTTCACAAGGAGTTGGAAGAGGAGTTGAAGCTCAGCAGTTCTGACCTCAGGAGTCACGCCTGGTATCATGGCCGTATCCCCCGGGAGGTGAGAGCTTCTGGCCGAGAAAAACCTCTGGCCAACATGGGAGTGGAAGTTGGTTAAATCAAGAGAAGGGAGAGGAACCACTACCCCTGGGGGTTACGCTGGTGTCCCTCAACTTGGGTGCCTTAGATGGGTGGTACAAATGGAAGAACGTGTAGTTGAATCACTCCAGGTTAGGAAGGCTGAAAGTATGTAAGCAAACGACTGCATTCCATTTTTATTTATTGTGCAGAGAAAATAATTGTGTGAGGAATGCAAGGTAAGCTAGAAACACTTTGGAAATGAGAGGGTCACTGCTGGCTCATAGATGGGGCCTCAGAGGGATCCTCTATATTCTTGGGGTAACCTAGGATGCACCTCAATATTGGAGGCAGATACCCAGGGAGAGGCCCTTTTCCATGTTTCCAAAACCGAAGCAATGTACCAAATGCCTCTTTTCCCACTTTCTCTCCAGTGTTAAACGGTGAAGTTTCCCCCACACCTGCATGCTCGTCGTTCCCGGCTCTAGGGGGCGGTGCTCATCTTCATTTCTAATCCAAAGAGTCAGCACTGTCCGAAGAGGCCTCCGGGGTCATGTGGCCGGCATGACTCAACGCCGAAGGCGCACGGAAGGCTGTTCCCTTCCCACCAAAGCTGCTCCCTATTTTTCTAGTTGCATTTTTTTTACGTCCTTTTGAATTGCTAGGTTGGCAGAAGTAATGGGAGCTAACTCCGTTACGCGGCGCTAGGGATTCAAACCGCCGAACTGCCAACCTTTCTGATCGACAATCTCAGCGCCTTAGCCCCTATTTGCCAGCATTAGGGCCAGGTTTATATTCTCTGCAGATGCTCAGATGCCCTGCTGCAATCTTTGCAGCCATGCCCTGGCACTCAGAAGACTAAATAGGGCTAGCTAGGTTCCTCGGATAAAACCCGAACACTGGATTATTATTTTTTTAAATTTACTCATTCATTTGTATTTATACTTATTAATCAAGTTGCGACCCGTGTCACCAAAGCGATTCTGAGCAAGTAGGGCAGTTTTCCAAGCAGGACACCGCAGAGCTCATTCACTTCTTCATACCTCCATCTGGATTGATTTATTCTTTATATATTCACTTTTAAAAAATTGCCCAATGCTGGAAACAAAATAATACCCCCTCGGATGAATTAGCAATAAAAAAAAACCTTTGGATTGTGCAGAGATGGACAAATTAACACTGAAATTAAAAGATAAAGAAGAGTCGGAATATTATGAAATTTGGAGCAATTGGTACAAATGGCTGCAGAACAAGAATAAAATTAATTAATCCATTATATATAAATATATATAGAATTGTGTATAAAGGTGTGTAAATACAGAAGCGAAATATTATATACATGTACAGGTATGATGACATAACAATGTTGATGTAATGACTGTAAGGTATTGTAGAAGGGAAAAAATAAAAAAAATCTGCTAAAAAATAAAAAGAAATAAATAAAAAT